ATTTAGGAAAAAAAAAGATAAATTGCTTGTAGAATCATTAGAACCAACTGGTAAATATTACCTTAAAAGTCAGTGGGAATAAGACATCACTGTAACCATTTATATATTACTTTATTTTTCCCTTTTTTGTTCACCTTTAACTTATTACACCATTACCACTTCTCTGAATGGAAGAGTCTATGTTTATCTAGGTCCATCTCTATACCCTATATTCAATATCTAATTTAATTTTTATGTATCAATAAAGCAGGAAAATCCTATTTCATGGGTGTAAAAATAATTTTAAGGAGCCAAGATTTAAATCTAAATGTCTAATTTATTGATGGACATTTCGAAGAAAGGGTTTTGTGCTTAAAAAATAGTTGAAACTCTATGATCTTCATCTCCTGGAAATTCATCCTTGTATTAGCATATTTGGCACTCTGAGGAGTTCATAAAGCTCAAAATCTGCTTGCCCTTGCATACTATGTACTAACACAACATCTACTTCCAGCAGACAGGTACAGATTTATACCATAAACTCCACTGGAACCAGATGTAAGAGAGAAGGACCAATGATTTGTATTAGAACTAAAAACAGGTGCCCTGCCCTTGTAAAGGTCAAGATGACTCTTTAAGAGGAAAGCTCATTAGGAAATAAGAACCCAAGGTAATAGATCAGCAGATGCTTGCTTATTTGACATGAAGTCAGTTACTAAGACAATAAAGCTATTGACCCCTCCCAGCTGGGAGGAAAAAAAAACCTGTCAAATATACGATCCATTTTCCTTAGGTGTTGCAGTTGTGAAATAATGGCCATTCTGAGAAGCTACATGACAGGCTGTATGCAATGCTAAAAGAGAATTAATTTTTCAGGAACTCAAAAGCCTGCCTGCAGTATTGGAAACAAGAGATGGAGTATGGAACAGTCCCTGGCCACCAGGCCTTTCTGTTTCATATGAGCTCAGCTTGTGCTTCATGTACTTTAATGATAGTACTATATTTAAGAAGAGATGTTCTTGCAGAGAACAATATTTGAGAGTTATCTAATTGTAAAGTCTCTTTGTTATTGTACTAACACAATTAATCACCTGTACTTGTGTGTGCATTGTTTTTAATCTGTAAAAGTGAAATAATGTTTATTCTTTCTTGACAACACAAAAATATGAGAAAACATAGAAAAATAGAAAACATGGTATGGCACCTGGAAACTATGGTTTCAGGAGCTGTTGAATTTTATGCCCTCTAGATATTGACTGGTAGGAGAAAGAGCTAGAACTTTAAAGACTTCCAAATTTCCAAATGCACAGTGTTTATGAGCAGCTAGAAATAACCTTTTAGCCCAGGGTTCTTCCATACTTTTTAGAGATTCTGTGTTTTATTTTGATATATTTTGATATATTATTCGAACTGTACAGTTTGGGTCCTTTGCTAGATACAGTGTTGTGAAATCAAAGCTAACATTAGCTTCCTCTTCCTAAGGCTACCACTGTTGTACAAATAACTCAGGAGAAGTGTGCCCCACTTCCCATCATAATGATTATAGTCTGCAAAATACAAATACTACTATATTTTTCATGCTTCCAAAACGTTTGGGGATGGTCACTTTGGATTAAGTAAAAATATTTTATGTCTACACTTGGAATGAAAAATATTTTATAAAAATTAGATTTTTTTCAACAAGGAATTGACAGACAACCTCTGGTTCTAACACTCTCCCTAAAAAAATATTCTTATCATTCCAGTTACAGTGCCAGGCATGAAAGTGCATGCCTATAATCCCAACATTCAAGATGCAGAGGCAGGAGAATTGGTGTAACTTAAAGCCAGACCAGTATATATAGTGAGTTTTAGGCAAGTCGGGATTATGGGACAATATTCTCTCCAAAACAAAAACAAAAAGAAAGGAGAAAAATACCATTTACAACTATGATAATTTAGTGCTTGCCCTAGAGTCATTTTGGAGGTGGATAATTTGCATTATCCTGATACTGAATTGATGAAGGTTTAATAAAAGAATTCTAATGTGTGATTCTGAGCCTATGTACCTCACTTGCTACTCAAAAACACCAATGACTCAATGGTAAGTTGTTAGAGTAAGGGAAAAAAATATTCAAACATTTAACCAAACCAAAGAAGACAGAGGCTCTGTCTCGGATACTTGTCCATTGCCATGACAAAGCATAGCAGAAGAGAGACAGGCATGGCACTGGAACATTGAGTGGAGAGCTCAAATTTTGAATGGTGCATACCCTTTGGAACCTCAACACCTGCCCTGTCAATGACACACCTCTTCCACCAAGGCCACACCTCCCCATCCTTCCCAGACAGTTCCATTAACTAGGGACCTAGCGTTCATTCAAACATACAAACCTACAGGTGCCATTCCTATTCAAACTACCACAGACCTTCTCAAAAAATATCATCTCATTTTTTGTGGATGCAAACACCCAACTTATCTAGGGAGTTGTACAGAAAGTAGGCACTAGGGGTGGGGGTTACAAATTCAGAATAGTCTGCTCTTCTGAAACACAGACTGCCCATGTACCACATCATTGGATAGCCCGTGTTCTGTAAAGAAAAGTGACTGAGGAAGAATTTTTGGAGTTACTGTCTTTTTTAAAGTGCCTTTTCCAGAGAATAACTGGTTCTCTGGTTATCATCAGTACACCAAGAGAAACTTTTCACTGGAGAAAAGGGTGGATAGCAAATGGCCACCTTTTCCCAGAATTCCAAGCAATTTTCTTCCAGAGGTCAGGGGAGGAAGCATTCTGGCTGTGAAGTCTTTAACCCTTTTGCGGCATCCCAGTGAGATGAAACTTGTATGGTAGCAGAGCTAGTGAGGGCCAACTGAAAGAAAGAGGCACATGAAGGTTCCCTTAAGCCTTCCACCTGAGACACCCTTTCCATGCATCGCCATGGACAAATTTAAATTCCTTCTTTTTGTGTTTTGTTTTGGCTTTAGCTGAACAAGAAACTTATAAGCTACATGAGGTAAAAAATTGAGTTGCTTCCCTAGTCTAAGCACTTAAGCAATTGTATTGTCACTATGTCTAGTGGATGCCTTGAAGGATGCTTTTGAGCTCATTCTTTCTTAAGCTCCTGCTTCATAGAGGTCATTGTCACCAGCTAATCACATAGGACTCACAAGGACTTGACAGAATGACACCTTCTTGTTTTCCTCAAAGGGAAATAAGATGCAGAAACTAATTCTGAGAAGCATGGTCCTGTAGCTTGTTACTGTATTGCTTAGTAATATAACTAAAAACCACCACAACTGTAATGCCCATTTGCACCATCATGTTTCCCATTTTACTGAACTAGAGTGTACAAGCAAATATTTTTACATATTTATTATGTACAACACATTATTTCAGGTATGCATAAAAGTTTGTGTCCTTTGTCAGACTTCTAACTTTTGGAAGTTGTCAGCATTAAAGTTGACCTTTAACAATATTCAGCTTATATTATATAATGATGCACTTAGTTGTATTTTTTATTTTTGCTTCTCTTTTGAGAAAGGGTCCTTCTAGTCTTTTTTGTGCCTTAGCCTCCTGAGTGTTGGGATTACAGGCATACATTGCTGTGTCCAGTTTAATTTTTGTTTTAAGCCACAGCATTTAATTAGTTAGGGAACACATCTGAGAAGCACTTTAAACACAATTTATGTTGGAGGTTTTCAAAGTCTTTTCAAACTAAACTCTTTGAGCAAAACAGGCTTATATGAAATCTTAAGTAAACAAAGGAGACAAAAGTAGACATGTTTTGGTTGAGATAGAGTGTGATGCCTCAGGGCCTATCTACCTATTCCCTCTTCTCATCTTAAACTGGAATCCAAGAGGATTTACAGGGCACTCTTGGAAAACCACAGTTCTACATTAATGTAAACTATTTGCAGAATTTATTCATCCACTACTTTTGTCTGACACAATGAGTAAAAACTTACCCAACTAATTAGATGTTGCCTTTTATGTCAAATGCATATGAGAAAGCCATGTCCTAGCTGGTCTGTGTGCTCAACTGTCTGGAATCTATGGTCAGTGGCCTGGTAATTCCTGGTTATTGCAATGAACCTGGGGAACATCAAGTCATCACTCTTCTTCTATTTGGCTTTGAGCAATGTGCTCATCATCAGGGACGTTAACTGTCTGAACATGTAAGTCTAGTTACCTTATACAAACAAGTTCAATTTCCACATCAGCAATCATATCTTCAAATATTAGCTCATAATTTCTCATCTACATTCGCATTTTCATCTGAAAGAATAACAATTGGGCAACAGACAGATACACATTTTCCTAATACTAAGACTAAGAAATATATATATATATATATGTATATATATATATATATATACATATATATATATATATTTCTGGGTTTTAATGATTGGGCTTACTTTTCTAATTTAAAAAAAAAGTTTTGAGACCTGCTTTCTGCTGAAATTAAAATGATATAGGGAGATACAAGGGGAAAAATGAAGTCATTATCTGAGAGTAACTACTGAAAATATACTAGCATTGTTTCCATATCCAGCAGTGACTTTATCAATTCATTTCAACTTAATGTGGTATTAATTTTTGAAAGATTTTGCAATTGTGGTGAAGGATTTGAGCAGCAATCCATGCTTTTGGTCTGTGTGCTACAAACACCTGTATTATTTTTGTTTGTTCACTCATTTATCTGTTTTCATTATTTTACAATTTCATTACTTATCATTATTTATTGACCTTTTAACATCTGCTAATACAGTGTTAAAAAGTGTGCCAGGAGCCGGTCATACTGCTGTGAATAAGACATGATCTTCTTCAAAACATATTTCCAAAGTAAAAGAAGACAGAAATTAATTGGAAATTATTAATATAGTGTGACAAATGATTAAAGAAAATAAGCAATGCTTTAAGGGCCTATCAGAGTTAGCTCATCTGGTCTTGTTGGATCAGAAAATAATCCCTGAAATGGCAGAGAAGTGAAGCCATGAATCAAGAGGCTGGGAGTAAGTGTTCTGGACAAGAAGACAAGGAGGTGAAGACATCATCACTTCCTGCAAATGAAAAATGTCTTCTTGGCTGTAACATAGACTTGGGAGTATATGGGAAAGAGATGTGATTAATAGTCATCAGAGGCCAGAATCACCTGGAACAATGTTTACTTTATTTGGAGGGCAACAAAAGGTTCACACATTTCAGAAAATCATTGAATGTCCAGTGCAGGGAAACAAAATGTACAAGGGCAAGACTGAAGCAAGGGAATTATGAGGAATTATGTTCTAGACTTTCATATGAGGAAAACTGTTGTTCAAGTGAAAACAATGGGAGCATGCTGGAGATTTCTCAAACAGCCGTGCTTGGGGGATAATAACATAAGTAAAATGAATTTTCTTTTCTTACACTTAGTTGTTAGAACAAGACCCAACCTACTACACTTTCTCTTTTTTTAACACTATGATCTCTTTTTTTTTAGTATTTTATTTTTTATATATTTGAATTACAAACAAGGTTGAATTACATCACGATCCCAGTTCCCTTCTCCCTCCCTTCCTGTTTTACCACCCCCCAACTAAAATCCTACCTATCATATGTCTTTTCTTCTAATCTGCACCTGACTCAAAATTTCTGCTTCCTCATGACCTCTGCATCCTTCCTTTTCTTCCCTTTTCACTATCATAGCTTCCTCCCCCCTCTTCCCATGTTCTCAACTTGCTCAGGGGATGGTGACCCTGAGCAAATGATCTATGATCTCAATACATTTTTGCCCTCACAGCCACCCCAAGAACCAAAACAGCCTCTGATGTGATGGAGTGCATGTTTATTCTTGTCGATGGCAGATGTAATGTTTATATGAAAACATGGAAACCTCTATTCTAAAGAATAAATGCCTAGCTGTGATGCATTCATCCTTACACACCTTACAAAGTAGTCACTCTAGAAAGGTACACATCAAAGGTGTTTTCACCAAACAGGCTACTGCTTATCTGGCTAAAGGGAGTTGTTCTTCTGATGAGGACTCCATGGTAACAACACAACACTGTTGGATTATGTACAACTGCAAAACAATAACCTCAGTGGGGCTCCTACACTAACTGGATAAATGGTGATTGGGAGTCTGTGAGGCTGATGCTGCTAATACTTTATTTTTTTATAATTTAGTAAATAACATATAGTCACATATGCAATGGTCGGACTACGCAATGTATCAGTGTAAAAGGAAAAACAAAAAATGGTTAGGTGGTCATGTTTTAAAAGTGACAAATGAGATATCTGCACTGCAGTATTCTGCAGAATCTTCTGCATCAGAAACTAGGCAGATATTCCTTATAAATGGTTTCATCTTTTTCAGATTGTGGCAAGCGAGCTATCCCATTAATTGCCAACAGAATAGTGTCTGGAAACCTTGCAGCTAAGGGTGCCTGGCCTTGGCAAGTTTCTCTTCAACGAAGCAACATCCATCAGTGTGGGGGCACTTTGATTGGCAACATGTGGGTGGTCACTGCAGCACACTGTTTCAGAACGTAAGTTATTGAACTTAAGTCAGTTCCCGTGTTTGCTAAACTCTCTGAGTACTTCCGTGTTCTGAGTACCAATCAAGGTCCCCAATATGGCTGAAGTAAAATAAGAAAATCTTTCTGGTCATTCTCTAAAATAATGCTCTACTTGCAAACTTATTTGGAAAGTTTGGTGGGAGAAAGTAGTGCTGATAAGCACTGAGCTGAACTCCTGGAATCCAGTTGCAGAGTGGGAGGAGTGATGAGCAAAGGGGTCAAGACCATGCTGGGGAAACCCACAGAAACAGCTGACCAGAGAAATGGGGAGCTCATGGACCCCAGACTGATAGCTGGGAAAGCAACATAGGACCCACCCATACCCCCTGAATGTGGGTGTCAATTAGGAGGCCTGGGAAATCTATGGGGCCTCTGGCAGTGGATCAGTATTTATCCCTAGTATATGAATGGATTTTGGGAGCTCATTCCACATAGAGATACTCTCTCACACACACGGGGGAGGGCCTAGGCTCTTCTCCAAATGGTATGATGGACTTTGAAGATCCCCCACAGAAACCTCTCCCTCCCTGGGGAGCAGAAAGGGGATGGGATGGGGGTTGGGAACTGGGATTGACATGGAAAACAAGCTCTGTTCTAATTTAAACTTCAAAAAAAGAAAAAAACAAAAACAAAAAGCGCAGAACATTGTCCCAGTGTCCATTAATTAAGTCTTCAGATTTTCAACTAAAGAAATTATAACAAAGCAGAAGTCAGCCTAAAGCAAAATATTTACTAATAAATCCAGTTCTTTGTTAAGTAATATTCTGCACTTAACATTGGTGCCCATTGCCATCAAGCCCTTGGTCAGTCTCATGGTGTTGTTAACAAACTAAAGCTGAAATCTTTGAGGAGGCAAGAAGTGGGTAACTGTTGCTGCAGAACTTCTCTGTTCAAATTTACAGCACTGACATCGACAGGTCACCACAGTTGGATTATGATTCACATTCTATCTTTAAAAATCAGAGCCAGAACATATGCCATGTGAGACCTAAGCTGGGAGAGCAAATTCTGAACTGTGTGACACAGTTAAAGTGAACTGGACAAAATGGAATATTCCTAAAGTCTCAAATGACAAAGGGACCGGCAGCAAACTGTTTGCCACCCAAAGCGCAGTTCACCCAGCTGCAGCACCCACGGCACTAGGGTGTTCGTCAGAAATGAAAATGGTTAAGCTCTACCCCAGAGCTACAGACTCAGGAATTGAGTTTTAATACGAGCCCCTAATGATTTGTTTGCACACTAATGTTTGAGAAACATTGTCCTACATGCTGAAATGTTATTCTGAGAAATTTTTAATACAGATGGTAGAGTTGTATTAACTGATCTGAAGTCCTGTCATGTTTTTGGAGAAGACTAAGGGAGTCAAGAAAGAACTTGTCAGCAGGCAAAGGTTGCTCAGAGATGAAAGGGATGCCAAGATGAACAAAGGGACTCTAAAGTAGAGCATGCCTCCATCTGCAGGAGGGATCAGGCAGGGGCAAGGAAGAGTTGACAGTGGCTTTGTATCAACAAACAGCACAATCACTGAGCTCTGTGGTGCTACAGGCACTTGATTGGTTACTGAGATTTCTTTATAGAATTCTTACAACCCTGTCTCCATATAAGCCCTGATGCCCGGAGTCCTTTCACTGAGAGGTGAATATGGAAATTCTCAAAAATACAGATTTATAAAAAGAACAAACAAATAAAAAACAAACAAAAACCCCAAATAACAGGTTTAATATTATTTTGATCTAATATTGAGTTAACACAGAATTCATTACATGGAAGACTGGTGTCTGAAGGGGATGTTCTAGCATGAAAAGATATAACTATGTAAATGAGGCTACATGACTCCCAGTTTTAAAACTTCAAAAGAATTTCAGTATCCCTTAAATATAGCCTAAGCATTTTCTCTCTCCCTGTAAGACACTCTGGTACCCACCTACCTCTCCAGCATCATCTTCCACCTTTCTTCCACTGTTGTCTTAAAGTGAATCCCAACTGGCCCAAGGCCCTCAGATGTTTCCCTGGAAATTTGTCTTCTTGATCATCGCACACCTTCTAAAAGTGAATAATTAAATATTGAATTCACTTCCCATATGCTATTTGTATATACTTTATTCTCAAATCATGGGCAACAGACATTTAAGTGAGATGAAACTGTAATTTCAAAGAAGTATTACCAGTGTTTTTTGTCTCTTGAATTAACCTAAATGCATGTAGTTAACTAATGTAAACGATGTAGTAAACTGCAGCTCATGTATGCTGCTAATCTTTTCCAGTAATGCAAAGCCACGCCAATGGACACTTAGTTTTGGAACAACAATAAACCCTCCCTTAATGAAAAGGGACGTCCGAAGAATTATTATGCATGAGAGATACCGCCCCCCAGCCAGAGACCATGACATTGCCCTTGTGCAGTTTTCTCCGAGAGTCACCTTTTCAGACGACGTACGCCGCATTTGTTTGCCAGAACCCTCTGCATCCTTCCCGCCAAATTCGACTGTCTACATCACAGGATTTGGAGCACTCTACTACAGTGGTGGGTACCTCTGAAAAGCCAGGAGGCATCTCATCTCTTTAGCAGAGTAATTTCATCACCTGTGTCATGTGGATAGCCCTTTCCCCAGAGCTTCTTTTGATTAGTTAGAGCTCTTGTTTTACAAGAGAAAGAAATCCATCACAAAATAGAAACAAAGAAAATTTGGCTCTTGAAATTCAGGAGCCTGTGTGAGAACTTTGGCTTAAACGTAGGTAGAATGCAGAATTTAGATGATGTTGCTGAAGCCTGGACTAAAAGTCTTTATACCTCCCAGTCCTGTTGTCTCCTAGCTTCACCAGCGAGGACTCTAGCTCCACCTAGTGGCAGAAGTAGCCTACAGGCTGTCCCGGAGTACTGGATTTTTACGACTGTGCGGTTAATTTTGCTTTGGTATTAAAGAAGCTAATTTAATGGTGGTTAAGAGCAAAGCCAGTATGGAGATAAATCGCCAAAACACGCTTACCCTCTTTAAATTGATCCAACTTTATTATGAACTTATAATGACTGTTGCTGAGTGTTTTCGTTCACTCTCGGGCACACTCTGGATACATATATAACTATTGCTAGAAGGTTTAACTATGAACTTGAGGAAATGAGAAACGGACTTTTGAAAAATGGCAAAATCCAGTCGAAGTAGCCTATAATCTGGAGACACAACAAATGTCAAAGAATAAGTCTCTAATCACAGGTTCCACCAAGGAGCTGGGAAAACACTTACACGAACATCACCAGGGACAGGCTTTATGGACTCTAGATTTACTTCAGACGTTCACTCCACTCAGTTCCATCTTAGACACACGGACCATGCATTGTTTTCTCTATGGTCATATAACTTGTTGCAGAAGATTTTACCCATTGTCTCTTCCAGCTGAGTAGCAAGGGCTATATCACACTATGCCTGCACTGTCTCTGATGGGCTTTCTCTGCAACATAACTATGGAAGTCACACCATGAATTCTCCTTGGTATAAGAAAAGTCCTTTTCTGGCAATAGTACGAGGTTGGAACAGACCCATAATGGACTGAATACATTATGAATAACAATAAGATTAGACATTTTTAGAACACTCTCTCTTAAAACAGTAGGACACACATTAACCACAATACATTTTACCAAGCAGTTCCTATAAAAGTAATCAACTTCTCTACCACCTAGAAATTGTTGGTTGCCATATTCACTAGCTTTTCCCAGAATTGAACACCATTTTTAAAATTAATAATAGAGTCATGATACATTGTATATAGACCATATACAAATATTATTAATTTATTGTTTTCTGGATCAGAAGTTCAGACAGTTTTATTGTGTCTTCTTCTGAGTCTCTGAGAACTGTGGTCTGCATGTGACCTCATCTGTGGCTGGGGTTCTCTTCTCAGCTATTACCAGCTGGTTGTGGATAGAATTCTGTTTCTTGTAGCTATAGAGCCTGCATCCTCAGCATTGTCAAGAAAGTGTGTCCGAGCATGAGAGAATTCCAAACCTTACCTGAATTTGTCCAGGTGTGCCTTGGATAATCTCCCTTTTGATTATTCTAAAGTCACTCTGACAATATTATTTATTGTATTATCTATATAAAAATTTTCCTAGCACTTTGCCATATATATTAAACCTAATCATGAAAATGATTTCCATCATGTTCACAGAGTCCAACCTATACTTGGGGAAAGAGAAATAACACAAGAAATTTGGGGGCTATGCTGGAGCTCTGCCAACCAAAGTGCCATGGTTGCCTGAGAAAACCAGTTCCAGAATGTTTGTGATGTTCTTAGTTTCCCTCTGCTTCTTCCTACAACAGGGACCTAACTTAGGATCTGGATGCCTAAATTTATCTAAGACAAATGTATTATAAGCCATTACATTGTCATGTGATGAACTTATATACATGAAAGCTTTTTGCAGATGCACGGGACTGGATAAACATACATAGTTTAAGCCAGCCAAGAAACTGGTATTGTTTGTGGGAACAATCTGGAATCCATAAACACAAAGTTCATCTTTTGAAATTAGGATGCAGTTTTTTTTAAAATAAAGACTGGTTTGGAGGGCTCAAGAAGTTAAGTGCCCTGACAGTTCTTCCAAAGTACCCAGGTTCAGTTCCCAGCACCATCTTGATGGTTGACAATCATATATAACTCCAGCTCCAGGGGATCCAACTATTCTGACCTCCACAGGCACTGCATGGATGGGTGCACAAACACACACGAATGCAAAACTTCTGTACACATGAAATAATACTCAAAAATAATAAAAATAAATTATTTTGAAAGTAAAAATACAAGTTTTTTAAGAAAGGAAAACAAATGGTCATCCTGATTATAGGAGTATTTATTAAAATAGGTAATAAAATAGCCATCATTAAATGCACCAGGCTTTGTGTTTTGTCTTTGTTTTGAGCCAGGGTCTTCTATCCTAGAACTGTCTCTGTAGACTAAACTAGTCTCAAACTGGTAGAGGCACATATGGGGGTTAAAGGCACGTGCCGGATTTTAGTTAGAACTTTTTTTTCCTCTAGGACTGTTCACACTAACCTTAGTCTGTATAAACAACTTGAGAATGAAGAAGAGTCAAAAAGAGTCCAATCACTTCAGTCCATCTATGAATACTTATTGATAACTCTGAGACTGCTTTGTTTTTTTCTTAAGGGGAATCTCAAAATGAGCTCCGAGAAGCCAGAGTACAGATTATAAGCAACAACATCTGCAAGCAACCACAGGTGTATGGCAATGACATAAAGCGTGGGATGTTCTGTGCTGGGTATCTGGAAGGAATTTATGACGCCTGCAGGGTAGGTTAAAGAGAGAAAATAACCCAAAGTCACTAACCTTTTCACCCAGCCCAGGAAATACTCTGTGTTCTTTTTGCTAGCACAGGACACAGACATGCTGGCACCCTCAAACATGTAAACATCATAGTATATTAGTACTTTTAGAAGTTTTATTATTAAACAACCTGAAACAAGCAAAGGATTAAACTCACAGGATAAAAGGATAGGAACCTCTTCTTGTACAATGGGCTCGAGTATTAAAGACAGCAACCGTGTGCAGTGAATGGTGATACTCTAAGAATATAATGGAAAAGAAGCAGTTTTCCCTTAAAGGAAACATTTTGGAACAAGAACTAGAGAGATAATGCTTTACTTATACAATTACACTGTTAGAAGAGAGAATAATTAAAGCTGTGAGGATGTTTATATTTTCATTTATAACCAACTACTGTAATTCATAATTGGTAACCCCTAACAAAGCATAAGCAGCATGACATGTGGGAGGTTTATTTAATGGTACAAAGTATGAATAGGTCATTCTGTAAATATCCAACAGTTCTTCATGGGTATCCCTCAGTCTTCAGGAACCCATGTGGAATGTACATTTTTCTGAGGAAGGTCTGAGTATGTTTCTTTCCATATGCAACCATTGTTTTTTGACATGAGACTCTTGAAAATTTCAAAGAGGTGAATCTACGCAGTGAAATGATGAGACTTAGTGGTATTGGATGCCTAAGAGTCCTGCCCATAGGCCCACAAATTACAGAATGAGCAACCTCTGCTGTGGAGCAGATAAGGAATGGTAATACAGATTATCTGGACAGATCTGTGGTCCAGAGGATTCACTGGGATGTGAAGCAAAGAAACCTAAGAAAACCCCCTACTCATAGAAAAAGTCACGGGGAAAGAGGTTCAAATGCTTAAGTGCAGTAATGGTGACTGCGGTGCAGGATGAGGGCTTCAGTGCAACTGATAAAACTGAATTAAAAGTGCCAACATCAACCTGGATTCCTTGCATCACCAAGTGTTCATCTAGAATTCAAGAAATGTCCCTAATGTAGGTAGAGGAGGGGAGAAAGAGGGAAAGGAGAAATAGGGAGAAAGGGAGGGGAGGACACCATGGAACAGAACTTGGAAGGAGGGGTTTTTTACCAGAGGGGAAAGTGAATGGGAAAGGGGGAGGGGAGAAGGGAGACCGGCCTTCAGGAACAGGATTGCAGAAGAGAAAAGACAGAGAGAGAGGGGGAGGGAGGGAGGGAGGGAGGGAGGGAGGGGAAGAGCAGCAGTGCAAGAGTCCAAGAGTGTGAGAATGAGAATTCCTCCACCAAACATCTAGGTAGGAAAGATTCAAGTGCAAACAAAAAAGGATCAGAATTGCTGATGAGAAACCCAGAAGAAGAAAAATGTTTTCACAACTTTATACAGACTTGCAATTTTGTTTCTGGTTGTCGCTCAGTCAAGAGTTTGATAAAAATAGATTGGGGCTATTAACCAGAACCAGGCACTGAGGGAAAGCTCTCTTTAGGTGATTTCAACCACTACAGAACAACCCAGATGGAAGAAGCCATCTCCATTTGACAACACTTGCAAAGGAAAAAATTAGTTTTCTCTGGTGGAGTCTCACTGGGTACAAACCACATGTAAGGGTAGGCCACACGCCCAGCACTAGACGGTCAACACAAAATGAACTCAATCATAATTTGAGAGAGTTTTTGTTCTGGCATTGTTTTTTTCCATACTTGTCTTTTGCTTGTATATTGTGGTTTTTGCTTGTACATTGTGTATATTTTGTTTTATGGGTTTTGTTTCATGTAGGTGTGTGGGTTTATGTGTGTGTGTATTTGTGTTGTTTTATCTTTGTTTTTCTGTTTATTCATCTTGTTATTTATTTGTTTTATTTGCCTGTTTGTTTTCTTAAGATAGATAGAAATATATCCTGGAGTTGGAGGTATCTGGGAGGGGAGGATCTTGGAAGAGATGAAGGAGGGGAAACCATAATCAGAATGTATTTATTGTATAAAATAATCTGTCTTCAATTAAAACAAAAAGAAATCAGTGGGTGGGTTCATGCAACATCTTTCTGGAGAACTTGACTCATTCATAAGTAATACGTACAAAACACATGTCACTGTTAATTAATAGACTGTAGAACTCATTAAGATCTGGTGAGGAAAAGTTGCAAAGGGGGTTAAGAGTTAAATATTCACTACTGCTACAGAAAAAGCAATAGTAGAAGTCTAATGGGGGGACAGCATTTGAGTACTAGATAAGGACTTAGATACAATTTAAAAATTACGGTTAAGCCATGAAGGGCTACCCTAGGAAACAGACTAGATGAAGAGATGTGCATTCTCATTTTTTCTCTTTAATTCTATGTTGCTTACTCAAAATCAAAATTTAGTAGAAAATGTGTCGCCTTACCTTAATTTTCAACTTTGTTTTATTTATTCATTTGGTATTGGTAATCTATACATGCACTAATAATAAAATAAGTGGTTCATCACACCTTTGTAGATGATGAACTGTTTAGCTAACAGTTTTTCTCTTGTTTATTTTCAGGGTGATTCTGGAGGACCCTTAGTTGTAAGAGACAATAAAGACACCTGGTATCTTCTTGGGATTGTGAGCTGGGGAGATAATTGTGGTCAAAAGAACAAACCTGGAGTCTACACACAAGTGACTTATTACCGGCGCTGGATTGCTTCAAAAACGGGTCTTTAACTTGATGAAGGTGCTAGACAAAACAGTAGCATGCAGGTCCTATGTATATAAGAATTCAGACATTCATTTGGTGGCATCAGTACAACGAAAAGAGATTAAATAGCTGGACATAGCAATATGAAACACACGTGACTTATTTCAAAATCACTTATTTGTGAAGTGATGGGATATTTTATCATTGAAAATTCAGCAAAGGTATTCATATCGTCAAACCAAGCAAATTGGATTGTACACAAGATGCATGGTGCAGTTTTGAAGATAGCCTGGGAGACTTCTGGAGTGTGATTTTCTTGGGTGACCCCTCAAGAGAGAAACTTTTTCAACTCCCAGAAGTCTCAAGGTGCTCATACAACTCCCTATGGTAGCTCCAGAACTCACAAACATCTTTTTGTCCTCTTTCCTTCTATACTTTCATATGCTTTCCATCACAGGCAATAAGTTTGCTACTTCTAAATGCATATAAGGGACTTGTGTAAAGTTTTGTGGCAATCTAAAGCAAAGGTGATCTAACATTTGTTGGGAAATCTTGTGATTTTTCTATGACTTTAAAATACACATGCAATCATGTGAACAACAGTTACATCACCACTGCTATTGCACAGATATACATTAGAGAACTAGTGATTGATGTTCTATATAAAGTAATTATTTAATCAATATATAACTTTTGTCATGAAAAATTGAGAGGGAATGATAAATTGGTGAGCTTTTTGTCCCAGGATAGGTGTACAGAATTTGACATTTTGAATGTACATTTACATATTTTGGTCACCAGGGGGAGATGTTGTCTGGTAATATTTAGGTCAAATTGAGAATTTTTAAATTTATTTTTATTTAAATTTAAAAAGTCTTATTTTACATACCAATCCCCCTTCCCTCTCCCTCCTGTCCTCCCATTCTCCCCACCAACCCCCCATCACAACCTCCCATTCACTCCTCAGGAAAACTGAGGCCTCCCATGGGGGATCATCAAAATCTGTCATAATTTGGGGCAGGACCTAGGCCCCCATGTATCTAGGCTGAGAGAGTATCCCTCCATAGGGAATGGGCTCCAAAAGCCTATTCATGTACTAGGGATATATACTGGGTCCACTGCCAGTGGCCCCATAGACTGCCCAAGCCTCCACAGCTGACACCCATGTTCAGGGAGCCTGGCTCAGTCTTATTCAGGTTCCCCAGCTGTCAGTCTGGAGTCTGTGAGCTCCCACTTGCTCAGGTCAGCTGTTTCTGTGGGTTTCCCCAGAATGGTCTTGACCCTTTTGCTCATCACTCCTTCCTCTCTGCAACTGGATTCCAGAGTTCAGCTCAGTGTTCAGCTGTGGTTGTCTGCTTCTGCTTCCATCAGCTACTGGATGAAGGCTATATGATGGCATTTACCTCAAATTGAGAATTTATTAACATGTAGAAAAACAAAAACAAAAACATTTTTGTTTCTTCCCAGAAAGGAAATTTTTTTGCTTTTATTTCTACCACCAAGTCTCTCCTAAGGCTCATGCTTTGGATATTTCAATCATGAAACCATATATACATATGCATATGTATATACATATATCCTCCCTAAAACAAACAAAACTTATGAAGGCATCAGGAGAGTGAGGTTTCAGTGCCCATAATGAAATAAGTCAGGTTTGTTGGAATATCTCTTGGCCTGTGAGATGGCCAAGATATATTAACAGCTTAACAAAGGTATCTGCAATTTGCATCCTTAGCTGTCAAATTTTCATGTCCCCTTTCCTTACAAAGTTTATGGCTGCTGTACCCAAAGTATCAGGAGACCTACGACATTTTTCACTAAGTGTTAATTGTTTTGAACTAGGAAACTTACATAATGATTTTTAAAGAATTCTCTCAGGCAGCTGGCTGTTAATGATCTGACCTCTCCTCAAAGCAAAGTTTCTCCTTCATATATGCATATATACCCATTTTCAGGTAATTTTTCTGTATTGTGGTGGTGAGATGTCATTTTGCTAAGATTCAGAAAGGGGTCTTAGCATTGTAAATGATGTGTTCTAAGCTGTCTTTTGCAGCATTTCATTTGGGGCTGTATGGGGGAAAATATTGTTTTATCATTTTAAATCTAATAAAGTTGGTGATCAGAGCATTCCATAGACAATATCATGGAGTCTGTGTGCAGACAGGAGTATAATCTTTCAACTGTTGTTAAGAATTACATTCATTAAAATAAGGACTCTGAGGTCATTCTTAGCTTCTCAGAAGCTTGAAGTCAGCCTAGGTTATGTGAGACTTTGTCTCAAGCAACAACAAAATCCAACAAAATAATTGTACTGTTGATGATGGACTGAGCGGGGCAAGGAGGCCCATGTGGAGGCCTGGGGCTATCTCCCCAGGGATTTGAGGAGAAAGCACAGGCCAAGCAGTAGGCACTCTTATGGTGAGCAAAGGTATGCTGTGGTATGGCACACAGAGAGAGAGAGAGAGAGAGAGAGAGAGAGAGAGAGAGAGAGAGAGAAGGTTCCACATCCTGACAGAGGAATCTGAAGAGATGAAAGTGGTGAGAAGGGGGCCATGATGATGTCTGAGCCTGGGCTACTGTCAGGTCCATGTCTGGGTTCATGGTTCTGATGCAGCTACTGTCTGTGTTATGCTCATGGCTCCTGGTAACACCAAAGGTGAGAAGATATGGCTATACATAATTGGCCTGCCCCTCACTGGTCGCAACACTAGAGAGAACTGGTCCTGCTCATCACTGGTCACTGGCTGGGGCACTCAGTAGAGAGTCCTATACCTCACCTGGGCAGCACAATAGAGCTGACCCTGTTTGCAGGGGCATGGGTGAGCTGGCCCTGAGTGTGTGAGAATAGGAGAGCAGGTCATCTGCCATTTGATGGTGTGGCTGAGGGAAAGGTGCACTACTCCCCTCACCCATCCACACATGCAGTAGGTGACACAACCCATCACCAGCTACAGCACTTGGGAGAGTAGGCCCTGCAACTCACCTAGGCAGCACAGTAGAGCCCACCCTGTTGGTGGAGGTGTGGGTGAGCCAGCCCTGAAGTTGTGAGCATGGGAGAACTGTCCCTACTACTCCTCTGTCATGCATGCTGCAACATGAGCAGGGAAGAGATGACCCCTTACCCTTTACCCCTCACCACCTGTGACAGACCAGAAGAGGTAGCTGACCCCCCTTCACCAGCTGCAGCACTCAGAAAGGTGGGGCCTGCTCCTTGACTGGGCAGCACAAATAGAGATAACCTCCCTGTTGGTGGAGGTAGGGGTGAGCTGACCTTGAGGATGTGTGAGTGGGACAACTGGTCACCCCCATCACCAGCCCTGTGGTGGTGAGGGCAAGGGAAAGAAGCCCACCCCCTTGTCCCTACCAACTGTGGTGGGGGAAGGAGCTGACCCTTCCCCTTACCAGCTGCAGTACCTTTCCTATGCAGCACAGTAGAGCTGACCCTATTGACTGGAGTGGGTCAACAGGCCCTGAGAACTTTAAATTTTCATTTATGTTAGTAATTAAAACTTAATAGCAAGCTCAATTTTTATTGTTAATGTGCTATGCATGAGTGTGCATATACATGGTCACATGTATGTGAGCACATATGTGCCTGCATGTGCACATCTGTGCATGTACACATAGAAGACCAAGGTTGATATAGAGAATCTCCATTGATCACTCTCCACCTAGTTTATTGAGGTTGTATCTGAACTGAACCCATGGTTCAGTGATACAGACTACCCCAGCTAATCAGAACACTGCAGGGAACCCCTACCTCTGCTTTCTGAATGCTGAGATTATATGTGGGACACCACACCTGCCTGGCATTCAGATAGGATCTGGAATGCCTACTATCCACTAAGCATGAAGACTGTAAACTAACTTTTACAAAACAGTTCTGGATTATTTCCTGAGCCCAGGAAGCCCATCTCATAAGTGAAATAACCAAATTAAATACAGGGGGAAGTCTTATATGATATATGAATCCAAAAAAAATATGGAAATGATCTGGGACTCATGGGCTAATAAAGGACCCGGAAACTGACTAAATGTTAGCATTCTCAACATAAACAGGTGCTCAGAATAACCATCTCAGGTCTTCAGCATGTTATCATTTAAATTTAGTAATTGAAATATAATTAGAATATAAGTTGTATTTTGAAATATAAAATTAGGATTGTTGAATTGTGGTTTTATGAAAAGCTCTTTTCAAAAGTCATCTTATAGACCTTTAGTGTGAATATTTTAACTGATAAGGAAGAAACTATATACAAACACACTTAGAAATAAGGAAAATCTGAATGATAAGAGGTTTAAGGAAGGGTATGGAAATTAGAAACTGAGTCGTCAGACAGTTATGGCAAATCAGGAAGATTTTAATGGAGTAACACTACTGGCCAACATTAGAACAACTGAAGATACTATCTTGGGTTTATTCATTAAAAGACTCAAATATATATGGTACATTTCTGGACGGGAATAATGACATGACATCATCCCCCAACCTGTACACTACTAAGTAGACAAAACAGTAGCTGGGAAATTTTTCATATTTGGGATTTCTGTCTTTCCTAAACACTGCTGAGATTTGTATATAGAAGTTAAGAGTCGTGGTGAGTTACACCTAAACACCAGTTTCTAAAGAAAATATTAGTGTTGATAATGAGAAACACAATAATTGTTAATACCTCAAAGGAACTCATCCAACAGACCACTGGTGTCTGGCACTAGCCAAAGACTGTCAGACATTGTATTCTACATAGTAGACTACCCTAAGGTTAGTATACCATTGCACCCAAATTTGTTAACTATGTAGGCTATAGATTCCTCAAATGCTGCAGATACACTGGCAAACACATGTAATCCCAGAAATAGGGGATCTAAGATAAGATAATGGTGAGTTTGAGACCAGCCTGGTATACATAGCAAGATAATGTCTCACAAAATAGAAAACAAAAATAATTCCCAAACTGCCAGGAAAATGCAAAATCGTATTGCTGTTTTAGAAAGCTTGGTAATTTTTTTAAACACATGACTAACG